GGATCTATAGAGCTCACTATCAAGCAGCACTACTGAAGTTCAAAGTCACTCGTCCATCATGATGGGTTAATTTTTGATATTTAAACTTCCTGTTTAAGAGAATATTATATTATCTTTTATTTTTATTTTCTGTTTCCAAAATTAAATTCAAAGCTAATTTTTGCAAAAAGATCTTCACCATTGACCATTGTATTATTTATCTAATTCATTAATTTATCATATGGTTTGCCGTTCCCCTCATATCTAGAAAAGACACCTTTGTTGGTTATCTATAACTTTATTCTATTTTTGTATAAATAAATTATGAATAGTTTTATTAAAAGCATTATAGAAGAATGTATTTTATTTAGTTTTCCCCAAAGTAAGAACTTCTTTGATTTTAGTTCATGTAACAATATGAGCAAATAATAGAATAATAAGCCTTAAAATTGCTGTGAAAAGTACACAAAAGAAATCTGCTCAAGCATCCTTAACCCTAGAGGATATCTCAGTCATACTGACAGCTAGAACTCACCGGTTTTCCTTTTGTCTTACAGAAAGAATGTGCTAATTTCATCAAGGTGCTTAAGGCTTATAATCAGACACACTTGTACGCCTGTGGAACTGGGGCTTTTCATCCAATTTGTACCTACATTGAAATTGGACATCATCCTGAGGTAAAGCTGGCTTTTAAAAAATAGTGTTTGTCCATGACCCCTTCCTATTCAAATGCTTCATTACGAATTTATTCAGCTCATTTAGCTTCTAGTTAGCTATTCAGTGGGACCTACTTCAAATTCAGATGCTGTTATTAATTTTAATCTGTGAATTCAAAAACAATAAGACCATCACTCAGCAATAATTATGGAACAGGAAGAAGGAAAGAAAAATCATTTGCTTTCACCGTGGATTACAGAGTCCAATACATTGTGCAGCAGATGTCAGCAGGCTGAATCTGTACTGTTTTCTCCTTCATTTGTATATTGCCAACTTTCCCCTTTATTTCCATCCTCTGCCAGAAGTGTCTGCCACCCCAGTTGTTTTCTTCTACCTAAGAATTAAAAGGATGCCACATATGTGATCTGCTCTTATGCTTGACAAAAATTATTCACATGTGTGTTCTTGCTCAGCTAAGCATTGTTTTTATATTTTTGGTTATTATTTTGGCGATATGGGGGAAAATGTTTATCTGTTTTCCTAGAAGATGTGTTAGTGAGAAAATTTAGTGAGGAGATTAAATTAGGTAAACTTAAGTAAAAATTGAAATTAGGGGAATATTTAAAGAAATAGTTACTAATGTTGAAAGTAGTTCCACGAATTGGGCTTTCTAATAGCTTTCACTTATATGCTCTTTTATAATGTTTGGCTCAAAATTCTAAGAACAAGAGCATTTATGCAGTGAGAAGATCATTTGTGACAGACTTTTCTTCCAAACTGGAATTCAGAAATACTCAGCAAATACAGGATTTGTTCCTGGAACATTTCTGAAACACTAAAGATAAAATATAATTTACAATTTAGCCACTTCTTTGTAACTTAAACTCCAGACTCTCTCTAAATTTTCTCAGCGTGTCCTAAAGTGATACAAATATGATTTTCAACCCAAAGGCATAGAAATCAAAACCGTGTTGTACCTTTTTGTTTGTTTGTTTGTTTAAGAAGATACCTTAGAGACAATGTGAATTCTAGACTACATATGATTATTGTTACTTTTCTGATGAGTATTTTCTGATGAAAATACTTTCCTTAGGTCTCACCAGTTTAGGCAACTGCTTCTCTTCAGCCTATTTTCCTACTGCATCCTTCCTTTTTCTCTCCCTTATAAGCATATGTGTACTTGCTTACATACCTAAAAGTTTTAAGTAAAAATTAACTTTAAGAAAACAGTTTTACTAAAATTGCTTGTTTCTTGTTGATGAAATTAGGAATAATTTAAAAACTGCTGACTTTGTACACTTAACTCTTTAGCACCTTCTAGATAAATCTCTTTCTCTGTCTCCCTCTCAACTATTTCCTGTTGTCAGGTGCCCTAAAACTTGGGCCTGGGATAATTGTCCCACTTTTTTGTATTCTGGAGATAGCTCTGGAGAATTTTCTCTACATTATACTGTACTTTTTGCACCACCAAGGTGTCATGCTCTACATAGTAATAGAGTCAGGGGAGCTGAGCTTCTAGCACAGGTTAGTGGAGAAGACGTGGGCTTTAGTGTCACATCTGGTTTTGATTTTTTTCTACAGATTACTAGCAGTGGAGTACTGGAAAAGTTACTTAAGCTCTCTGAGACTCTGTCTCACTAGATGTAAAACAAAACCAAACAAATCTGCTTTGAGCCTCAATATTTATATATTTTAAGTGAGAGCTTGACTACTTACCTCCAACTGCCTTCCAACCCTCCTAGCAGAGCCTGACCCATTGACATTGTTTGCTATGGAAACTCAAGGAGTTCTAATCCCATCATTGTTAAAAGCATGTCTTCTGGCCTCAGACTGCAGGGCTTTTGTCCAATCTCAATTCAATACTAGTCGTTTGATATGGAGAAAGCTACTTAATTTTTCTGTGTCTGTTTTCAGTCTAAGAAGTGATAGAGAATGATTTCTACCTCATAGTCGTGAGAGTTTAACGTTGTCGAATAGGCAGTAGATGCTGAAAAAAATGTTTGTTATCATTTTTAAAATATAAATGTACATCTTAGGGCTGAAAGCCATTGCTGTCTTTTATGTTAGTACCTGCCACCTTGCCTCTTAAATGCACTTCACTTCATTGGATTTTGTAAATTATGGCACTGGTCTCTCATTGTTTATAGGCGATTATACACTTATCTCATTTTTCTTCATTTTTCAATTTGAAGCTTAGATAAACTTGATAACCTTAATTTAAAATACCATATATTGTTCCCATATTTTTATTACCCCCCTCAAAAAAAATTGTTTTTGAAGTTGCTATTTAGTAGAGTTCACAGCATATTTCTTCTGCCTTATGGGTAGACGGGGGAATGGGAAGGTACAGGTTCTGGAGCCGTGCCATTGCTCAAGCAAATGGAAGAGGAGGCCAGTTCCTCCATTGAAACAAATAAATAAAGATTCTCATATGATCTCCTTTCTCGTGAGATATTGGGGTGCAAATATTTTCTGAAATTTTAAAGCTCAGAGCCTTTGAGAGGGGTCTACCTTTAGAAGTTCAGTGATCTTGATATGCATGGCAACTATATTTTGAGAAATACTGTTCCAGACTGTTTAGAAGGTCAGTGAGAAGATGATTATGCAATTATCTGGGGAATTTGGAGCAGTCTAGACAGCCTATCTAGGAAATTCTGGAAAAGAAATTATCATGATAGTTTGTCAAGATGACATAAAATTTAATATTCAGTGCTTAAGCTGCCTTAAGAAAGAATCTGCTTTAAATTAATCTATACTGGTTCTTAAAATACTAGCTTTGGATTTAAATAGCTACGCTGTTTGTGAAGTTTGGGAAAAGAGACAATGTGTACTTCATACAGTTAGAAAAAGAATGAGGGTAACGGAAAGCTTGGAAAAGTAAGAAATAAAATAGCAATTAGACCTTGAACAAGATTTTTAGATTAGAGTTCATAAACTTTCATGAAGTTTGAATTTAATAACTTTTATTTACAAGAATGATTTTTCAGAAAGACCTAGGACACATCTTTGTCCTAGATTCTAGTTTGGAAGTAATATGTATACTTTATTGTTACTTGCCTCACACTACATAAAATCATGAAATAGTTTTCTTTTAAAACTTCTGTGCAGGCTTTACATATTACAAATAATTTTATTTTACAGAAAGAATATTTTGCTTTTGCTTTTATCATGGCTTTCATGGACATTTTAATATTCATTTTTGTTCTTTGCAATGTTTTTCCTTTAAAAATAACTCATTGTCTTACCCAGAGTTCCTAAGATTGTTGAAACCCATTGTTAGAAAATGACTTTATGGACTTGCTATGCCAAATGGTCAATAGCCACAGAAATAAAGACATCACTTTTGAAGCAAATCAAAACTTCCTTCATCATTTAATAACTTCAGATCTTGTAGGAGGAAATTAACAATTATTTTTTAAAAAATGATAAACAGTTTGCAAAATAACCTTTTCATTCATTTTTCTAGTTAAATAGACCTTATTTTTTTCAGCGTCCTAGCATTTTAATAGTAATATTTACACTCCTGGATACTGTATTCCAAAACCTACTATTGCTGTATAGTTAATGCCTTCTGACCACAGCACAGTATGTCATTGATTGCTGTATTAAACAGATTTTTCGTTTCCTGTAGTACATTTGGGAATTGGTAGACATATTAACTAACTCCAGTTCTGTAAGATGTGTGTCAATTAATTCTTGGGTATCTGCCAATACTACTTGACACTGCAAACAACTGTCAATGAGGTCACATACTTCATACACATGTGCGTGTTTATCATAAAAATGCATGCAGAGTTCATGGAAGGAATGAAACAGAGCTAGAATACATATAAGTTTTGAATTTCAGCTCTTAGCATCCATGCCATTCAAATGAAAAATGTAAGTCATCCTTAAGAGATAGAATATTCCCAAATGGCTTATAGTATATGGCATTTCCCCTTCAAATTTACATCTGTTAACCAAAAAAAAAAAAAGTATGAATTTAGGAGAAGTATTGCTTTTTGAAGAAGTCTCTGGATGTTTTCTCAAATTCCAAATAGGCTTCTTCTAAGTACTCACAGGAAATCTAAAGAAAGATGGACACAAATGAAAGCTGGAACATATTAACTCTATAAATACTCCCATAATGTCATGATCTCAATTTATGTTAGAACAAAAGGGACATTAAGAAATGCAATGAAGCTTAAGGTCATTTCTACAATGACAACCAATATATCTAGATATAAAATACAATCTTTTGTTTTTCTTTTTCCTTCCGCCAAGAATAAAAGTTTGCTTTTATACAAAACTTTGAATCAAATACTCTTAGTAACAGTCCAGCAGGCCTACGTGCTATTTAAGTGATAGTCCGTGCTCTGATGACTAATTTATAAATATAATCAAACCTCTTCTAATTGAGTTATCTCTCTCAATATTTTATGTTATTTAGTCCAGTGGACACAAGTTTATTTCTATGAGGAAATACTAAAGCTGAGATATTTAGATATCTTGACAAAACAATGAGTAGTTACTTTTGAGTAGGTAACATCTTTTTTTTTTCTTAGATCATACATTAGAGTCTGTATTTACTTTCTAGTAGGCTAACCTAGTTGAGAAAAGTCAGAATTCCTTGGTGATTTCTTCTCGCTACTCATTATTTCCACCAAAGGCAGTGTATCTTTTATTTGCATTACTAATCTGAGCCAACTGTGGTTAGAGCAAGTTCATAATGGTTTCTGTTTTTCTTTCTTTATCTTTCAATACTTGAATCATGTTGAAAGGTGAACCTGAACAAGTTATTGTGTATAATAAAGTTGTTTCCCTGAATATTTAATATATAAACATCAGAGTTATGAGATTAATGGCCTTTTACCCTCTACTACTCACTTGTTCAATTGTACAAAAGCTTTTCTTCCCCCCTGTTTCTCACAGTACTCACTACTTTTTATTCCCTAAATCAATAACATAAAAATAAAAATAAAAATCTTAGCATTCAATTCTTAACTTGTAAGTATTTGGTTTCTTATTTTAACAGATCTGG